CCAGAATTCCCCAGCCAGCATGTTGGCTGGGGAATTCTGGGAGTTGAAGTCTACACATATTAAAGCTGCCAAAGTTGAGAAACACTGCTGTAGAGGCTTGCAAAAGGTTTTAAGGCCAAAGCACCCAGACTCGAAAATGTAATTTTCAAATACTCTTGGAGTCAGGAATCTTGTTTCACAATTGGAAGAGGCTATTCCAAAGTTGAAATGCTTCCAGTGAGGTTGGAACAGGCCATTTTGGGGTCAAGACCTCAAACCCTCCTTAGTGCTGCTCCTCTCAGATCTGATCTAATCATCCTAGCGTGCTCTTCATTGATAAGCTACTTGCAATCCTTCTCACAAGTAAGCAACCTGTCTTCCCCCAGACCTCAGCCCAATTTAAACCCTACATCAGTCTGGCCCAGTGTTTTTCAAACTTGCGGGCTGTGGAATTCTGGAAGCTGAAGCCCACCCATCTTAAAGTGGCCAAGTTTGAAAAACCCTCTGTGCATCTGATGAAGGGAGCTGCAGCTCTCAAAAGCTCATGCTTTTTCATAAATGTGTTAGAAAAGGTGCTACCAGATTCCCAGTTTTTTTGCCACTGCAGACCATTGCAGCTCTTCCTACAACAGCAGCCTCTGCTGCAATTCCAGCACAATATTGAGAACCAGGGTAATAGGATACTGAAGATGTTTGCAGTCCTCCCTCAGCCAAAGAGATCTCAGAGCGACTTTGGGCCGACTGTTCCCTCTCAAGCAAACCTACCTCATGGGGGTTGTTGTTGCAGGGGAAAATAAAAGGAGCTCCTGGAGATGTAGCAGTATATACATCTAACAAAAAATGCGCAGGGGAATCTTGTATGCAATTGGGCTGCTCCTTGTTGCTTATGCATTTTCTGTTTCGTTAATTTACGTTTTTAGGAAATCCAGCAAAACAAAAGTGCAGAATTTTTTTTTTTTAAATTGTATGGCTGCCCATCGTAGATCTCACGACAATAAAGCCACAAGAGCCACAAAACAGAAACTAAAACCTGCTGCCTCGACCATCCTCCTGGGACGTCCCAACAGCCACCCTCGAGCTCCCATCACACTGACCGGGAAAAAGGCAGGCTTCCCAGGTGCCACTAGATGGCGATATTTCAGGGACAGGACCTGGGGTGTGCCCGCTCCATCTGACCCGGTGGGGCGGGCAGTTGCGAATGAGGAGGAAAAGGCGTAGCTATGCCCACGAGGACCAAGGTGCTGCAAAACCCTCCAGCAACTTACAGTGTTGCATGCCCCCCCCCCACCGTACAATTTTAAATACTTCTCCCATCGCAGCTGCCTGCAAAGCCAAGCATCAGCTTCCACAGCTCCCCTTGAATGCCAAGATTTATGGCAGTGTTTCTCAACCTTGGCCGCTTGAAGATTTATTTATTTTATTTAGAATGTCCATCTCGTTAAATGACTCTGGGAGGTTTACAAAACAATTAAAATCAATTAAAATTACAAAATTACAACAATAAATAAAAAATAAAAAGATCCAAAATAATTGGCAATCACTCAGGGAGCATCAGCGAGGTGCTAGCCACCCCCAGGATTGGGTAGAGTTGCTATCCCCCCATGTAAGCTGGCAGAGGAATTCTGGGAGCTGAAGTCTACCCATCTTCAAGCGGCCAAGGTTGAGAAACAGTGGTTTATGTCTTAGCAGAAACTGCACAAACTGAGACTGAAGACCCAGACCCAGAGACCCTAAATTATAATTTTTAAGAAGATGGAAATGGAAAAGTATTCAGTATGTGCCTGGAGAGCAATCATACTAATTGTAATAAATTTAAAGCAACTTAAAACATATTTAAACTTTATTTCAGTCCTGATTCCACCTGCTACCTTTTGGAATGGGTCCCGGGGTATGCTGTGCGAACAACAACTGCTATCCCCAGGCCTGGGAAGAGTTGTGCACCACTGGATTAGGGTATCGTGTGCACCCAGCCCAATGGAATTAAGCAACCCATAGTTTAATACAGTGTTGTCCAAACTTGGCCACTTTAAGATGAGTGGACTTCAACTCATGGCTGGCTGGGGAATTCTGG